TTAACTGACACTCGGCTAACCTTGACATTTTATTCCTTCTGGAACATATTTAGTCCCTATCAGGCCATTCTGAGATTCCCCCCACCCCCCTTTGGCATACCTTCATAGCTCCTTAAGTAAGCAGAGAGCCTCCTCCCCAGTCTTGTATGTGGGTGGCCCGAGTTTTGCTGCTTCCACCTTGTGCACAGGAACCAGCTGTTACTCTTAGATAAAATGACAGGACTGCCAGTCAGTGAAGCCCAAACTCATGCATGTTTCCTTGGAAATAAATCCTACTGGCCTCAGTCAGACGTGAGTCCATTCAAAACCAGTGTGCTGCAGTGGTCAGAGTGTCAGACTAGGATCTGGCCGATCCAGGTTCAAATCCGTACTCCGCCATGGAACCTCACTCGGTGACCTTGGGCCTGTCACATATGCTCAGCCCAACCTAACTCACAGGATTGTTGTGAGGATAAAATGGAGGAGAGGAAATAGTGTAAGCCACTTTGGATCCGTACTGGGGGGGGGGGAAGCATGGTATATAATTGAGTAAGTTAACTGCTGTACCCTGTTCTTTAAAATATATCTGAACCAGGTGTTTACCATATCTATAGACTTAACCAAGGTCTAGCCATAAAGTCTTCCTTCCCCTCTCTTCATTTGTCATTACATGACAAGTAAAACACATGTTGTGGAGAACAGGATTTACCATCTTCATCAAAGTCATAAACCTAGCATTGCCACTTTCTCCACTACGCTGGAAGAGGGTCACAGCTACATGCCCCATCTCCGATTTGCAATCCATCTATGTTGCCGTTTGCAGTATTTATTTTTTTACTGCTGCCATCAAGGATGAAGAGTAGGAATGACCTCTGGAGCAATGGGGTGGGAGGGGTGGTGATGAGGCATCCTGTTGGTCTGCATTAAAGGTGTGAACATCATGGTACTCTCTAGTGCTCTGGAAGGGCAAACCCCAGAAACTAGCTCTTACCTGATTAGTATAATTTCACTAACTCTGGCTCAGGGAATCTCCTTTGCTAGGGCACATATTTTATTTTGCCTTCTAGTGAATCAAACCCTTGGGCCACTAAGGTCAGTACGATCTACTCAGACTGGCAGTAGCTCTCCAGGGTCTCAGGCAAAGGTCTTTCACATCACTTACTGCTTGATCTTTTTAACTGGAGATACCAGCAATTGAACCTGGCTGGGACCTTCTGAATTCAAAGCAGTTGAGCTATAACTGAACCATGACCCCTCGCCAACGTATGTCCCTGCCAGAACTCCCTGGAGTTGATTTTCCAGACTTTTAATGACTACATTCTCAGCCCTAGTCATTCTGCGGAGATCAGCAGTCATAATTAGCCATTTTTTAAAACTGCGAAACTGAAATGGTATCAGATATGTTGTAGGAGTCAATGAACATAAGAACATAAGAGAAGCCAATGTTGGATCAGGCCAGTGGCCCATCCAGTCCAACACTCTGTCACACAGTGGCCAAAAATACCAGGTGCCATCAGGAGGTCCAGCAGTGGAGCCAAGACACAAGAGGCCCTCCCACTGTTGCTGCCCTCCCCCCCAAGCACCAAGAATACAGTGCATCATTTGCCCCAACCGAGAGTTCCTAATAGCCACTGATGGACCTTTGGTCCATATGTTTATCCAATTCCCTCTTGAAGCCGCCCATGCTTGTAGCCGCCGCCACCTCCTGTGGCAGTAAATTCAATGTGTTAATCACTCTTTGGGTGAAGAAGTACTTCCTTTTATCTGTTCTAACCTGACTGCTCAGTAATTTTATTGAATACCCACTAGTTCATGTATTGTGAAAAGGGGAGAAAAGTACTTCTTTCTCTACCTACTCTATCCCATGCATAATCTTATAAACCTTGATCATGTCACCCCTCAGCCATCGTTTCTCTAAGCTAAAGAGCCCCACCCAAGTGCTTTAACCTTTCTTCATAGGGAAAGTGTTCCAACCCTTTTATCATTCTAGTTGCCCTTTTCTGGACTTTTTCCAATGCTATAATATCCTTTTTAAGGTGTGGTGAGTTGTGACCAGAACTGTACACAGTAATCCAAATGAGGTCACACCACTGATTTATATAGGGGCATTATGATATTGGCGAATTTGTTTTCAATACGCTTCCTAATAATCCCCAGCATAGCATTGGCCTTTTTTATTGCAGTCACACACACTGTCTCAACATTTTCATTGAGTTATCTACTACGATATCCCGGGAGGTCTGGGAAATAGGTCTGCAAGTGCGCCACCATCGACCGGAAGTCCAACAACTTTTCCACTGAAGAAAAAGATTCAAACTTTCCAGCTATTTCCATAGGGTGTTTAAACCAGTTCCTTTCCTTTACACAGTTAAAGTGCCTGAGCTGCACTTCCAAGCCAAAAACATGTGTGTGGGGGGGAATCCTCCACCAGCCTCTCTCCACCTAGGTCTTTAAATTTTAAATGGAGTTCCTCTAAACAGCAAAGAACCTTGAAATTACTGCAAAATAGTCAAATTGAGCAGTCCAGTTACGGTAGGTAGATTAAAGTTGATAGATGAGATTCTCTAGTTGGAGTATAGCTCCGAGAGTCGGTTGATCACACCTCCACGCTCAGTGGCTGCCCCTGAGCGCTCCCTTCCTGGTCCCTGCTATGGAGTGATGAGGGGTCTACTTGGGTGCTGACACAACCGAGAGCACCCAAATCAAGCTCCCCGCAAGAGCGTCCCTCCGAGACAGCTTTTTGGGAGATCGGATTGCTCCAATCCTCCTGCTGGGGCCAGGAAGTTCAGGGGTTCCTCGGGAGTCACCCAGGAGCCCTCTGAAGACGGTGTGCCACAAACCAGAAGACGAAGCTTCTTCATTTCATAATTCAATCTCATGAAGCCTCTGTGCGACAGCTGTTCTTGCCTTGTATAGGCTTCCACAGAAGAGATCTTCTGGGAGTAAGCCAATCTGATTTAACTTATTAAGAATTTGTGTGGACCAGGCAGGGTAAGGGTCTGAGGCTAAAAGGTAAGGTATTAAACCCTTCAGGTTGTAATGAATTATTAGTGTTAATAATTTGGTGTCACATTGCTCTTTAAATTTTATCAGGGCTTCAGGCCAATCCTTGTCTGGGATAAAAGAACACCATCATCAGCATACATTAAAATTGGAACCTTTCTCCTGCCTGAGAATGAGGGAGCTTGAGTATCAATTTAATGAAGGCATGTGATTAAAGAGTTAACATAGATGTTAAATAAAAAGGGAGCCAGAACGCAACCTTGTCTGACTCCTTTTTGCACTGGAATTCTTCCCTCTCCCCCATCTTGTGTGAGTCTTATTTGGATGTTATTATTTTCATGCAGTTTAATAAGCTGTTATAATGCTCTTCCCATGCTTCTGCAGAGATAGGACTGGGAGCATTAGAGGCCTTGATCTGAGAATTGGAGATGATTTTCCAGAAGCTGACATTATCTTTTTCTCCAGTGACCTTAATGAGGGATTGCTATAAAAGGGAATCAGCAGCTCTTTTTTGGGTTTTAACAGCTCCTTATACTCCTTTTTTTAAAAGTTGTAATTCTAGTTTAGCAGTTGGATTTGGATTTTGTTGAAAGGCCTAAAGTACTCTCTGAGAGTCAATTTTGCTTGGGTGCACTCATGATCAAACCATTTTTTATTGTCAGAGATCCTATCATGTTTAAGATCTCCACGTCTTGAGAGTAGAGGCTGGAGATTGGAAATTAATAGGTGGTAATAATCAATTAGAGAGATCCACCCCATCATTATTAGCTGTTAGGACTTGCAGGAAGAACTGGCCATTAGCTGATTGTGTCCAGAGAGAGAAATTTTCATTGATATAAGAGGACCATTTAAGTCTAATCCTCCCTGTCTGTTCTGAAGGCTTAGGCTCAGTCACTTCAGGACAGAGTCGACCTGTAAGAAGTCCCAGTGGACCAAAACTTTTATGAACTAAGGGTAAATGGTCACTTTCTGTTCTGATGTCAATCAGAAAACTGATATAATCACTATAGAGATCTTGTGACATAAGAATGTAATCAATGGTTGAGTGCTTTAAGCCTGACTAATAGGTAAATTGGCCGGGGTAGTCACCTGATAATAAACCGATAATAAATCAGAATGACAAAAATTAGCCTAAAAGCCAATTGAAAAGGGCATGTGCCAGCAACATTGACAATCGGGTCTAAAGAGAAGTGCCTAAAGAGTGGCCAGAATTCATCTGGGGCCACCTGTATGTTGGATCCCCAAGCATCGAGAATAAATCCACGTTTTAAAGAAAAGCAAAATTTATTTCAAAGCGTTGAAGACATACTCAAACACGTTCTTTGTTAGAACTGGGGATACACAGTAAGAACGGGCTGGCTCTTTCTTTCTGTACTGATTTAAGATTGGACTCCTATGTATATGTCCTAATTCCACTGACTTTGCTGGGATATACTCCTAAATAATTTAACAAGGTCGGGCCATAAATCACATATTCTTACCTGGCAGATGCATAGCAGGGATGATACTACAATTGCCAGAAAAAATGCATTCTGTACATCTTCCTAGGGCGTTGGAGGACCCCTGCCACAACTGCAAGCGTGTCCAAACAGCCCAACTTACCTAAGAAAGTACAGCCACAATTCAACGCAACTGAAAGGAACTTCTGGACCAGCTAAGGGCTTCTGCTGCCTCCCCCAGCCTTTTCCTAGCACCTGTGTCATCCCTTTCTCCCCTTTCACCCCCCCCCCCGGAAGACTGAGGCCAGGCCAGCGGTGTAGTAAGTCTGCTCGTTGGGGCCAGGAGTCTGCCCTGGAATGGGGTGGGGTTGTTGCCAGGGATCACCCTGAGGAGGCCTCGGCGGGCCCGTTCGCTTTGTATGCAGCCGGATGTGCGAGGCATGCCAATTGAGAGCGCGAGCCGGCGCGCGGTGTGTTTGTACTACTGCAGAGCGCGAGAGAGAGAGGGAGGGAGGGGGCCGGAGGAAACGCCTCAGCTGCTGCCTGGATGGGAGCTTTCAAAGGAGCCCAAGTTCTGCGGCGGCGGCGGTAGCGACCCGGCAGGCGGTGAGGGGAGGTAGCGCCCGCGGCTCCCGCCCACCCGGTAAGACTGCAGCGTCGGCTCCGCGTGGTTTGGGGTGGAGACCCCGCCGCAGGCAGGCAGGCGAGCGAGGGAATCCCCCCGCTTGCCAGCGATGGTGCAGCTGCTTTCAGCTCTCTCTCTGCTGCCAACTGGCTTCGGAATCTCCCAGGGGGGCGGCAGGCAGGCAGGACGCGGCGTGGCTCGCCCACCGGGGGAATCCGGCGGGAAGGGAAGGGGGCCGGCCTTGGCTCCGTGCTGTTGAGAGTGCGGCAGGCTCTGCGGCGAAAGTTTGCAGGAGGCGACCCGAGCTGCAGAGCGAGCGGCTCTATAGCGCCTCCCTGGGAGGGCCAGCCAGGACCCCGGCCAGCCTTTCAGCCTGCCGTGGGGCTTCAATGCTTGGCCTCATCGAGAGAAAGAGATAGTGTCTCTGAGCATAGGTAGAGTGCAGTTCCCATCCCCCAGCATCAGGGCTTTCACACAAAGGCGCGTGCGAGTCGCGTCACCTCTCATATTAAGCTGCAGAGTTGCGGATGGAAACCCCGCTGTATCTGTCAAGGGGTCATCGAGGACAAATAAAGCAGTTTTCTGCCCTCGTTTCTGTTCTGCCACATGGTTTGTGGAGAAGTTCCTAAAAGGAGAAGTTCCATCCTGAATTCCTGCCCGCGAGCTTTGAAGGCGGCCGCTCTTTACATGCTACCGGCGTGAGCCCTGGCTCAGAGGAAGCCCGAGGCAGGGAATGGCCAGTGAACACTGACCGGAAGGCTGCTGGTGTAGTGTCCGGGATCGGTTGTGGTGCTGCTGTGTAAGCCTAGTATAGATCCCAGTTGCTGGACTGCTAAATACTTTCTAACAAGACAGAGGCTTGCAATACGTGCTTGCTTTGCATGAGGATAGTCTGAAAATTAGAACGTAAGCTATAATTTTCCTCTGCCTCGTGGGAGTGACAGAGTAAAAGAATAACCTACATTGTTATTTCTTGTGCAAGATTTAACTCTGGTCCAATAGTACCAGCACTGCAAGAATGTGCCTTTCTTCAGCAGGGTATGGGGGTGAGTAGCCTTGCTGCAGAAGGGGGGGGGCATGTTATAGGGAATCATCTGCTATTGTTCACCCCCCCCCCTTAACACACAGGGGATTGTGCTGCAGAGTTTTGTACACTGCTGCTCAGGGAGAGGAAGTACAGTTTAGAATGAATGACAAGGATGGGGTGAGTTTCACAAAAAGGGAACGTAATAAAGGAGAAAGGTTAGCTTCAATTGCAGTTCGCAGCTCCCCTTTGAAAGACTATATGGATGCTCCCACATTGTGGGAATGGTGCATTTGGGAGCTCTCATCCTCAGGAGATAACAGTTTTTCAAAAACACAGTCTTCCTGTTCAGGTTCATAAACTGGCCTAGGTATGGGTAGGGCAGCTGTTTTATGCTCTAAGTGATGACATGGGCACTAGCCAATACATTCTGTGACTACTGTTAGATTTGAGTCCAGGAGCCCCTCAGAGACCAACAAGATTTTCAGGGTATGAGCTTTCAAGAATCAAGGCTCCCTTCATCAAATATGACAAAGGGAGACTCTCGAAAACTCATACCCCAAATATCTTGTTGGTCTCTGAGGTGCTACTGGACTTGAATGGACTTGTTCTTCTGCAGACCAACATGGCTACCCTCTGTGCTTTGTGGTTGTGGTGAGGACTACTGTATTGTTACAGCAGTAAAATATTGCAGTTTGAGTTCACAGAGATGTCGTTTCTCTGCAGTAGGTAGAGAAACTGGGAAGGAAAGATACTTGAATCATGGCAACAGCTGCACCAAAGCTGCACAGTCGCATTTGCATGCATGATGGAAATACCAATTCTGTCTGTGTCTGTTAAACGCAAAGCTACCACCTTTATCTGTCCCAGCCAATCTTCTGCCTTGTGGGTGGGTAACTGCTCTCCACCAAACCAATCACTACATGCAAAGGAGACCTGCAGCTTTCAAAGCAGAGTGCTGGGACACCTGGGTCCCAACTGGCTACGTCGGTTCCAGCACATTCTCCTGTAGGTCAGTGGCCTTCTGCTTGCCCAAAACTGAGTTGCAAGCCTAATATATCTAAGGTGAGGATTTCAAAGGTGGTCATTGACACTTGGGGAGCGGGGGCGAGAGAGAAAGAAATGGATGGGAAAAGAGCTGTAGAAATATTGATCTCGCTAGATAAAAGTAAAATGTATAAGGTCAAAAATGCAATAGCAAATCCTATATAGCCAGTTAAGTCAAAGGTAGGTCCTGGATCTGGAAAGGCTGAAGGGCATTGCTGTGGTTTACAGCAAGGGGTGGGCCTGCACGTGAATCATAGCTGTTTATACTGCAAAGAAGCATTCTTCACTGGGCTTGGTGGTTACCCTGAAGGATACATGTTCGGCAGATGTGTTCTGTCTCAGGGGAGTGAAAGCTGCGGCTACCAGCAGCAGAGTTGCATGAACTCTCCACTGTTAACTCCAAAGCTCTTGGGGATAAGGTGCCCTGGAGAAATCGGTGAGAAAATATCCTGAGTTGGGATTAGTTTATGTCTCCCTGGTGTATATCCTTTGCATAGAAATATATTCCATCCTTGCCCTCTCTTTGCCAGTGGGAGCTCTGTCAATAGCAGCTTTGCTCCAAGCATTCCAAGATGCTGTGCAAATGTTAACCAGTTCAGTCTTGCAGGTAGCAAATTTATCCAAGGTTAAATAGAAGAGGGTAGAGACCAACAAGCTCAGCTAAATTTAGGAGTGATTTAGAATCTGTATTGAAGTGGTGTACTTGTCTTAGAATTTTATGTTGGATCTACGTATGAAATAAACCTTGTTGAACGGAATGTGTTTGAACCTGAGTCAAAGGAGCATTGTAGGTTTTGCTTAGGCTTTGCTCAGTGACTGTTGATGTATATATACATGGCTTCTTTGCAAGCTTACAGTGCAGTCCTAAACTGCGTTACAGCCTTTTATTGAAGTCAGTGAACTTAGACAGGTATAACTCTGCTTAAGTGTACACTGTTACTTTGGTGGAGATATTCAGTGAAACCAAGTGTGGGACTGTTGACTTGCAACTTGATCCATACACCCAAAATCCATTGTTCTGAATAGGATTTGCATATGATCAGGCTATTAGTTTTGTTTCCTACATTATGAAAGACCCCAACACAGGGTAAGTGTATTGGAATGCCAAGTGATCTTCAGGTACTTTGTAGTCTTGTTTTTTTCCTATGATTATGAAAACAGTGCTGATTGGTGAGATAAATATGTCTAAGAATGATGGCTGCAGTTATTCGGCCATTGGGCATTAAAATCTAAGAGATTTGCATTCATACTGCTAAATTAAGATTTGCAGCTAAGGTGAACAATAATGTTTGTCCTTTCTAAGGATGGGGTAGAATGTGGGCTGTGGATCAGGGCCAAAGAGAATGATAGATCTGCAGAGGAAATTATACTGGAATAGCAAAAATGAGGTACGGTTTAGTGCTAAATAGAAGATGAGTGAGGATATTTGTGCAGGAACAGAGGGGGTCAGGGAGCCAGGAACTACAGCAGAACTGGGGAAAGTGGAATTTGCAGGGGGGGGGGGGGGGGGGAGTTGAAAAACTGGATAGGGTAGGTAGAGCCAGTGGCTATAGTGCTACAAGAAAGAATACTGACACATCAGTAATGGTTAGAACTAGAAGCTGAACACCAGGAGTTGTTTGCAGAGTCTTAATGGGACTAGAAAGGCAGTAGATGGCTATTGCAGACCTTTTTGCAAATGGGATATTTACCTAGAATAAACTGTGCCTGGAAGCATTATCCTGGCATAAAATGAAAGTGGGCAGGACACACATACAGATTAAGAAGCAGATCTTCGATCTCTGAAGCAGTGTTTATTGTCCAAGAAGAGGGAATATGGCGAGACCTTTTCAAGTCAGCAGACTCAGCAAGGGAAAGTAGAGGGGGTGGCTAAAGAAGAACAGAGACCGTCTGGGAGATCTCATACTTTTTTATTGTTGAACGTGAAGCTCTTATCCATGTACTCCAGAGTAATTAGGGATGTGTACATTTTTTCCTTTCAAAAGCTGTGTTCATTTCATTTCGTTCATCCACTCATCCCCTCTACTAAACTTTGTTTCTCAATGCTGCTTTTATTACATTTCCACGCATGCATTGTGTTTTTTTTGTTGTTGTTCCATCGGTTTCCATGGAAAATGCTAGGAGCACCTCATGTAGTGGTTTGCTGAAGGATTACCAGATATTGCTGCCCAGCACTACTGAAGAGGGATTCAGTGCTGTTGCTGGGGGGGGGGGGGGGCTGGGGAAGGAAGGGCAGTGGAGGCACATAGCTGTTGTTGCAGCATGGTTGCTGAGTAGCTGGCAGTGCTGGCATGAATACTGAGTGTCAGACTAGGATCTGGGTGACCAGTTGCATACTCTCAGCCTCACCTACCTTACAGGGTTGTTGTGAGGATAAAATGGAGAAGAGGGGAACAATATAAGCTGCTTTGGGTCAAAGTATAAATGAAGTAAAATAAATATACTAAAATAAATATACTAGCCTGCACCATGTCCTACTAGCGCCTTCATGTCTAGAATCTGTGCATACCACTGTTTCTGATAAGAGACACTATTGCCTGTCCGAGGCTCTGATAACTTTAATAGTATGACTGGTGTAAGGACTGTAGAAATAAACTAAACTAAAAAACTGTTTAATAGTTGTGCACCTTTATGGTGCTGCAATCTGAGCCCCTGGTATCTCTACCACCCTTTCTTGATGTCCACTGGTGGAAGCCCCCATCCTTTACAGTGGCATATGGTAGTGGTAGCTGTTAGTTCCCCAGCCAACTGCTGCAAAATGCCCTGGGTTCAGTCCATTTCTGGCTGGGTTTAGCAGTGTTTGGTGGAACAACTGCTGTCTCATCAACAAGGAATGGAAGCAGGGCAATTGTTGTATTCTCATTTTTTTCATTAATCCAACATATGCAATGTATCTTTGATTTGTTTCTTATGGTGGGTGTATAATAATCCTTTTTCAGCTCTTACG